CACATTTCAATTAAAGAACTGAAGACATCATTTCGAAAATGAACAATATGTATAGTACAAATGTATCAAGAAGTAGTAACAAGAAGTCGAAAATATCACTTTCTACCAAAAATGACAAAAATATTCACCAAAATTAAAGAATCGAAGATATCATCACGAAATAAACACAATCTGAGAAAGATCTACATGTAGTATCTATATATGTAATATCAAAGCAATTGAACTATTGGTTTTTAACAAGAAGTCGAAAATATCACTTTTTACCAAAAATTACAAAAATATTCACCAAAATTAGAGAATTGAAGATATCATCACAAAATGAACAAATCTGAGAGAGAGAGGTCCACATGTAGTACCTATATATGTAATACCAAAGCAATTGGACTTGCGGTTTTTAACAAGAAGTCAAAAATATCACTTTTTACCAAAAATGACAAAAATATTCACCAAAATTAGAGAATTGACGATATCATTACAAAATAAACAAATCTGAGAGAGGTCCACATGTAGTACCTATATATGTAATATCAAAGCAATCGGACTTGCGGGTTTTAACAAGAAGTCGAAAATATCACTTTTTACCAAAAATATTCACCAAAATTAGAGAATTGAAGATATCATCACGAAATGAACAAATCTGAGAGAGGTCCACATGTAGAACCTATATATGTAGTATCAAAGCAATTGGACTCGCGATTTTTAACAAGAAGTCGAAAATATCACTTTTTACCAAAAATGACAAAAATATTCACCAAAATTAAAGAATTAAAGATACATTGTATCAACATGAAATGAACAAATCTAAGAGAGGTCTACCCAAGGTACATATACACCAAGTATCAAAGCATTCAGGCTTGTAGTTTTCAAGAAGAAGTCGAAAAAGTAAAACATTGACACGGACGAGGGACAATCACACATACATGTATGATAAGCTCTACTCGACAAAGTCGACAGCGGAGCTAATAAAACCCTATGGGCCCGAAAACTAACAAAGACAGGAAATAAAATGTTGCATTATTGTCGCCATGTTTATTTATCCTCGACTATTCCCTCATCAGAGTGAATTACTTCACGTATATTTGTTCCCTGGAGTCTGTAACAAGCAGTCTTTTGGCCGAGATAGCTAGCTCCGCTGTTAGCAATGCACATTTCAATTAAAGAACTGAAGATATCATTAAAAAATGAACAATATATATAGTATTAAAGAAATCAGACTTGCTGTTTTCAGCAAGAATTTGAAAATATAACTTTTTACTAAAAATGACAAAAATAATCATCAAAATTAGAGAATCAAAGATATCATTACAAAATTAACAAACATGAGAGCAGTCCACATGTAGTACCTATATAGCATACAGTATATATAATATCAAAGCAATCAGACTTGTGGTTTTCAACAAGAAGTCAAAAATATCACTTTCTACTAACAATAACAAAAATAGCCATCAAAAATAGTCATCAAAATTAGAAAATTGATGATATCATCATGAAATGAACAAATCTGAGAAAGGTCCACCTGAGGTACCTAAATGTATAATATCAAAGCAATCGGACTTGTGGTTTTCAACATGAAGTTGAAAATATCACTTTTTACTTTGTCTATGTATATGTACCAACATTGAACACAACAAATCCACACATGTTTGAGAAATGATTGACAGACGGAACTCAAAATAAGTATGTTCAACAAAGATAAAGATTTAGGAGTATGAACATACCCTTTACCCTCTCTTATGATTCATGGTCACTCAGACAGTAAACGAGACATTTCAGCTCCCCTTTGACCTCAAATAATAAAGAAAATTCCAGCCCTGCTCCATTTCAGCCAGGGTAATTTACATGTATAGATGAAATGCAGAAAAAAGGTACAACTTCATTACTAACAACATTTTTTTTTGTCATTTGCAGAACAATTTTCATGATTTAAGGTAGAGATGCAGTTTATTTTGCAAATTTTGACAAATTTCACTTTATTTTTTATGACATTGTATGAACATCTGTATTCTTTGATTATTTGAAATTAAAATCATTAGTGGAACTTTGTTAAATCCAATGGCAATATAAATCGCCATATATTTTTACTTAACTATAAAATATGCAAATTAGCAATTATCTCAGCTTCTTTTTTTGTGCACATCCTGGAACTTTAAACAAAAATAGCGCCTAGACGCTTTGACCTTTTCTTTTGACACTTT